GAAATTCAATGGAAACTCATTGTGGGAAAATCCTTCATCGCCTTAAACCAAAAATTGTCTTCGTTCCTTTCTTCCTTCCTTGTGCATGGACATATTCTTCGAGGAAAAATAGTCTTTTACCTCGATGTTAATGTCGGCGAGAAGCTTGGTTGTGCTTCTAGATAATCCTCAGGAGGCAAAAGTGGTTTAAAGTACCAACAAAACTTTAAATGATCGCTAAATCTTCATCAAATATATGAAAGCTAGGATGGTGTGACCTTTTGTATGGTCGCGGTCTGCTTTCGTTGTATAGAAGTTGTTTAATTTTGTTTTCGAAACTTGGCCTTCCTTCGAATATGACCAAGTTGCGAAAAAAGGTCAAACAACTTCTAAATCTTTATCAATTAATAAAAAGTTACAAATATACACCAATGAAAGAAAATATGTGTATATAATGACATATCCCTACATTTTTCTTACATCCCATAAGTAGTCATGGCTCAGCATCCTTGGGCACAAAGATCACGTTAGTGCATGACTAAACTTCACTCTAATTAAAACAAGTGGAACCAAAACATTTGTGGGTTGGCACACAAGAGATTGGGGCATGGAAAGTCATAGACTTGGCATCACAGATAGAAGCACGATAGATAAGGTAGAGACTATAGCGAGTTGGCTAACAATAAATGTGTTAGATCATAGACGTGGTCCATGAAGCACGTCTATTGTTAGCCAACTAGCTCTAGTGTCCACCGCATCTATCCTGTTTCTATCCATAATACCAAGTCTATTACGTCTCATGCTCTAGTCTCTTGTGTTCCAAGCCAAAAATGTTGTGGTCCTACATTGAACATAATGAAAACAAGTAGCATCACAACATTTGTGGGTTGGCACGCAAGAGACTATGGCATATGAAGTCATAGACTTGGCACGATAGATGCGGCGGAGACTATAGCTAGTTGGCTGACAGTGGACATGTTTAATCAAAGACGCGGTCCATGAAGCAAAGACTTGATCATGAAAATTACTCGATCTGTTTAGCCTCAAGCTAGTCTTCCATCCAGCTTGAGAATCCTGATTTTTAGGGGCCCACTCAGCGAGACAGGTGTATACGTGCCATCAAAGACATGAGACAGTGTGAGAAATAACGTTTCGAGTAGTACAGATAAGGTAGCAGGGGTCGAGTGAAATACCTGAAGCAGGAAGATAGGAGGCGGATTATATGGGGCAAGAGGGAGACTGATAAGACCTATGGGAAGAGGATTGAGGGATGGGGGAGTGAGAAGGCAAGTGTGGAGTTTGGAGAGATTCATGAAAACGACACACAATGCCACATTTAAATAAGAAATTGTTATAGTGAAGGGGTGATACGAGGATATAGGATCAGGGAATAGACCAGGGCAAGGAAGAAACGACAATTGTTTGGCAGACAATTAGTCAAAGGATCGGCTTCACTTGTATCTTTGACGAGTTGTAGTGTGGTGCTAAAAATAGCAAAGCTCACTGACTATGCCGGCGAGACTTCTGGGAATGTACCACGTGCAAGGTCCGACTGGAAATTATCATGCATACTATGGACTAAGCGCGTTCCTCTAGGTCTTCATACCAATCTGACCAAGTTGAGAAAACAAGGTCAAACAAGTTATATACAACGAAGGGGGACTGCGAGCATACAAAAGGCCCCACAATCTTCGTCTTTACAACTTCACTTTTTATTGAATATATGAAGTCCCATCACAATTACAGACTGAAGATCATCCGAAGCCTATGATTAACGGACGCAGAATTCTGGGACGAGGATCTTAACAAATTGACGGGGATATTCCTCCGTAATGGCTACCCTC